TGAACTCCACAGCCTGTCTGAACTTCTCTGCCTGCGGAGACTGCTGGACAGCCTATCGAACCTTATCCCTAAACAACCCTAAACCCTAAACGCTAATCTCTAAACACTAAACCCTAAACCTGAGCCCCATAGAAAGGCTTCAAGACATCTTTGGAGAGCCTGGAGCACTGTAAGCGGATGAAAACCCACGCTGAACACGCCAAACCTTGCCCCAAATCTTGCTCCGAGCAAGCCCTCAGGGTCTGCTCAAAGGCCACGCCTCCGGCCGCGTCACCAGCCAACAGGCCAACCACTCAGCAAGCGGCCTGCCGTGAAGACCGGGATTCTTGGTGCCGGGTAGGGGGCGTGCTGGGAGAGCTCAGGGAGTTCGATGGTTTAGGGTTTAGGGTTTAGGGCAGTCTACATGGTCTGTTCAGGAACGCTCCGGATCTTTATCGGCATTCTCGATTTTGGACTTCCCAAAGCAGTCAGCATCGCCTGCTTGTGGTTCCCAGAGTTTTGCGTATACACACGAAGAAACCATTGAAACAACGGGCTTGGGTCTTGTTTCTTGTCAGGTTCGACGTCCCAGCACAAACGCAAGTTCTTTGCTTTTGAATTTGCAGTATAGCTGTATGGCGTGCACGGGCTCTTCACATGCACTTTAATCAAGATCCAGTAAACCCTGAACCCTCCAGGTTCTGTGACGACCAACCTATACCCTAAACCCTAAGCCCTGAACCCTAGACCCTAGACCCTAAACCCTAAACCCTCAACCCTAAACCCTAAACCCTAAACCCTGAAACACGCCTGCGGAGGTTCTTGTCATACCAAGGCCGGCTCAGAAGCACCAGGTGGGGCTGCTTCTGCAAGGTCAAGTGGTCGTAGCCTCGGGTTTCAAGGGGTTTTGGCGCTCAAGGTCCAGGTCTTTTAGGGGTTTAGGGTTTAGGGTTTAGGGTTTAGGGGTTTAGAGCTTGAGAGCGTGTGAAATTAAAGCCCTCGCAACCGAAATTGGAGATAACGCCTCCCAGCCTCCGTGCCTGTTTTGCAAACTCAATGTGATAAGGTTGTAAATAATGGTATCCTACCGTAAATCCTGGAAGTTACCCTTGGTTGCAACAATTCTCTAAAAGATGTGCATACGTTTATTTGGACAGCCTTCATCCCTAAAGAGGTTCAACGATTTAAAGAGTTCGTGAATTTCGAATGAGGACACTTGGACGTTCGTGCTTGGCGTAAAGCGATCAAGGGCTGTGCAAGAGCCGATGCCAATTCTGAGAAGTGTGGGGTTGAGGGCGTCTGGCAGGTTGTCAGAATCGAAGCGCTGCATGCATCTATCCTAAACCCTGAAACCCAAAACCCTAAGCCCAAAACCCAAAACCCTAAACCCTAAGGCCTCGCCTTCTCGGACGATCCTGGGAATCTCCTCCTCCAGTCGGGAGATACAAGCGGCCGCGGCATCCCCCACCTGTCACACACAGCTGCCTCGTCTTAGGGCCTCTTTTACTGGCTGGTTCTTCGTAGGGAATGAGGGAATGAGGTACCCTACATAATCCCTAAAAAGGGCATAATGTAGGGCCCTGATTCCCTCATTCCGGCGCCTTGATCGAGCGTCAATTACGACCACTTCGCACCCTAAACCTGACTTGCCCCTAGCTCAATTTAGGGTTTAGGGTTTAGGGTTTAGGTTTTAGGGTTTAGGGTTCAAATGACCCTGAGCTCATGATGCTTCATGACAGCAGGTTCTGACAGAGCCTTGCCGACGCAGTTGCGGATCTCAGGGTAGAAAGTGCCTGCTTAAGGCGCTTGAACGCTCGGCTTCAGCATTTCAAGGTTTAGGGTTTTGGGTTTTGGGTTTAGGTTTTTGTAGTGTTGCGGGATGGTTGGGTGGAGAAAGAATCGGCCCAATCTGTACCTTGCTATGCACTACCCATCGGGTGCTGCTCGTCTTCCAAGCAATGGTGGTCCCAGAACTGCAGGGCCCGTAAGAAGGCCGAGGGTTCACGAATATCGAGGAGAGCTTTACCACAAGGGGACTCGATCTTTGACACATCCGCCTTCACATATACCGCATTGTTTTAGCCCATCTGCCAGCCCAAAGACGCCCTAAAGCCACCCTAGAGATCGCACTTAGGGCTTCTTAGGGCTTGGGCTTAGGGTTTAGGTCTAGTTTTCAAATGGCAATTACCCAAAACCGGCTCGCTTGCGAACGTCGGGTGCTCAAGGCAGCATGGTTTGGATCATCCCTGACAGCTTCAAGATGAGTTAAGGCCCGCATGGCTTAGATGTAGAAGTCTAGGTCTGCGTGGTGTTGCTGATGCTACAACGTTTGGGCTTTAGAAGGCTTTATACGGCTTAGTAGAGGTTCCAAAAACCCTTTGGGTCTAGGGTTGAGGGTCTAGGGTCTAGGGTTTAGCTTGTAGACCTGAAGCCAAACTACGTCTTTAAAGCCCCGATCCGCCTGCTGCAGCGTGGCCCTCGTCATTCAGGAAGAGGGCGTCGAGGAGGTGGACCGCGAGATTCCAGCGCTCGCAGCCGAGGTCGTACCTTGAGGCTTTAGGGTTTAGGGTTTAGGCTTTAGGGCTTAGGACTCGGGAACCTGAATAATTAGAACAGGGTTTATTTTAGGGTTTAGGGTTCAGGGTTCAGGGATTAGGGTAAGTATTCGCCTATTTTTGGGGCCTTGATCATTAGATTGGGGTTTTGGGGGGTTATTCTAGTATACTGTACTTATAAAAGGGCCATAAGTTAGGCCATAAGGGAAGACTGTTACTCATTCTTCCGACCCATATATTGCTCGCACGTGTTCAGGGAACTAGGGGTGAACGACCTGAGTCTAAATGTTCGAGTCAAGTCGTAGTATCTAGCAGGCCCTGCGGGTGACACTCGCAAGGCCCTAGTAGGGCCCCTAGGCACCCTAAAGTCACAAACAACACCGCTAGGGTTTAGGGTTTAGGGTTTAGGGTTTAGGGTTTAGGGTTTAGGGTTTGGGGTTTAGGGTTTAGGGTTTAGGGTTTAGGGGTTGGGGATTATAATCCCCAACCTTAAACCCTATAGGGTTTAAGGTTCCACTCATACACTACGCTCCTAAACCCCGAACACCCCAAGTCTTGAACTGTAAACCTCACAGGCCCATACCCTAAACCCCGGAAACCACGACCACCACCCCGTCCGCAACCCGGAAAGCGTGTAGTGCACTGCTTCCAAAACCGATAGCACGCAGCCCCTGCGTGAACCTGAAACTCAAAAAAAGCTCCGAAACTGGAAGCCCGCAACCTCGACAACCCCAAGGCCAGAAATGAGGCCTAAACCCCAACCCCACAAAACCCCTGCCATGCCGCACCCTAAACCCCAAGCCCTAAGCCCTAAGCCCCAAGCCCCAAGCCCCAAACCCCAAACCCTAAACCCTAAACCCTGCACCCGTAAATGACATAAAAACCGAAACCTTGTGCCCCAAGGCATCTCGAAGTTTCCGATGGGGAAGTTCAGCTCCGACTTCAGTGGGTGGAGGACGAGGTCGACCTGCTGTACTTGTAGCTTAAGGTTTAGGGTTTAGAGGGTTTAAAGGGTTTAAAGGGTTTTAAGGGTTTTAAGGGTTTAAAGGGTTTTAAGGGTTTAAAGGGTTTTAAAGGGTTTAAAGGGTTTAAAGGGTTTTAAGGGTTTAAAGGGTTTAATTTCATTTCCCCCTATTCCAGGGGCCTTGATAATTAGAATAGGGTTGTGGGGGCTATTATCGTACAACCGTATCACTATAAAGGGGCCATAAGGGAATATTATTAGTCATCATTCCGACCCCCCTATATTGCTTGTAGCTTAGGGTTTAGGGCCTTCGGGTTGCGTGATTCAGCTCTGGAGGCTGAAGGGACAGAGGAGTCTGGGAACGTGCGACGTGTTTGGGGTGAGGGCCGCTGAAGGCTGTGTACAGGGGTTTCGGCTTTTTTGGTGTAAGGCTTGTTTGTAAGCCCTAAACCCCAAACCCTAAACCCTTAACCCTGAACCCTGAACCCTAAACCCTAAACCGGTGGGAAGCCCTGCTCCCTTGAGCCCCTCCAGCCAGGAACCTCAGCTACTGATTTTGATTCGGGTTGCACAAAACCAAGTCGTCGACCCTCAGTCAAACACGCACCACTACCAAGGTCCACACCAAACGCCCAAAAACCCTGCATTCTCTAAACCACATGGCGCCTCATCGATAAGAGCGCAGCTGTTGTTTCGCAGCATCGCCTCACTCTCGCCGCGAAGATCACGGGTCAAACTTATGGCTCCGCTCGTTGTACCAGGGCTTCGGATGTAGGCATTCGGACATGTACGGTTGTCGAAGTGTTCAAGTTCAGCCGTCAAGGCTCCCCGTCGTCACGCACGACAGCTGCCAGCTGTGCAGATGTCAGAGGAGTGCTTTCACAGGTGCCGCACAAACCCGTGGCTATGCCTCCGAAGGCTCGAATAGGAGCGCAAGAAGAAGCAGTAAATCCCCAAGCCCCCAATGAAAACCCCATCCAAGCCGCCAAGACGTCGCCGATGAATCCGGCCATGACCCTGTTGCCCTCCACCTCCTTCATGTATGGGCTCAGGGTGGTAGTGCGTAGGATTTGAGGGGCAAGGGTAGAGGAATGAAGATAGGTTTTTGGGCTCTGGGGTGTGGTTCGGGCTTGGCATTTAGGGGTTTATAAGGGAATCCTACTATTAGGGGGTCAATTTTGGGGGCCCCCAGATTTTCGTAAGCCCCCATACTTGTGGGAGATTGCTCCCTAAACCCTAAACCCTAAACCCTGAACCCTGAACCCTAAACCTTTAAACCTTTAAACCTTTAAACCTTTAAACCTTCAAACCTTCAAACCTTTAAGCCCTAAACCCTGGGAGCCAAGGACGGGCGGAAGCCACCGAGATGCCGCCTCAGGCGCACGGGTGCGAAGACCTCCGCTTTACCACTTGAAGATGTCCGAAAATAGGGGGGGGGTACCCCAAATATACCCCAAGATACTGTATAATCCTTTTTAAAGGGAACCCCAAAAAGGGTACCCCTATTTTCGGAAACCCGAACTTTCAAGCCCCAAGGACATTTTGTTACAGAAGCCTCGGCCTATAGACCGGCGGATGCGGTCCTTGTTCACGTCCTGCATGCGCTTCTTCAACCGCGTCTGGGACACGGAATCTTTGGCCTGCATGCAAGCGTGCGACTCAAGCGCTTGGCGTTTAAGATGCTCTGGTTTAGGGTTAGGGCAAGGGAAAGTTTAGGGAACTCCCCTTGTTCTTTAGCTGCTTCTGTCTCAGACAGAAACTAACAGCGTGGAGCGGCTGGAGACATCGCAAACTTAGGATTCGAAGCTGTTAAGGGCTTTCAGCCATGGTACGCACCTGCTCCTGCTTACGCAAACCATGGCACTAAGAGTGCGATGTGTGTGTGTGTGTGTGTGTGTGTGTGGGCGCGTGTGGGCGCGTGTTGGGGGGGGGGGGGGGTTGGCTTTCGAGGGCTTCGCGGCCCCAGGAGCCTTGTGCATCTCGGCTTTGTACTTCTTCTGGGTGCCCAGGTGCAGGTGGTTCAGCTGCAGGAGCTCGAGGTGGCGCAGGAACATGGACTTGATGGCCTGGCTCTTCCAGGGCAAATTATCCCCCACAACCCCGTAAAAAAAGGCCCTGTATATTATAGGACTATTATACCCTAGGACCCCTTAAAAAGGCCCTTTGTGGGGTGAATTATGGGGATTTTAGGGCCTTATAGCCCATCCTAGTTGGCTGAGGGTCCGGCGATCAGGGTTTAGGGCGAACGGGAGGACCTGGGGTATCAAATCCTGGAACCACGATAGAACCCAGAACCCACCAGCACTTTATAGTACTCAGCCCTCAAACCAACAAAAGCAAACTCCCCCCCCCCCCCGCCCCAAGGTCTCCATGTGTTGACTTGAGGGCTTTAGGCATTTTCAGGCTCCAGGGCTGAGATTCTGAATGTTTAGGTTTTTTGTGGAAACTTTTCGGTCGCATCTTCGGGGCTTCGGTCTTCCATGGTGCGAGTTCCAGAGCTTCGGAGGCTAGGGGCTTTAATTTCGCACTCTTCTGGGGTTGAGGCCCGTCTCAGCACCCAAGAAACCGCGAAAACCCCCCGAACCCATTCGCCCCAACGCGCAGGGTTCGCTGCAGGCGTCGTGCAAACGACGGCCGCATCGCGCTGCGCGTCGAAGAGCTGCTGCTTGATCAACTGCACGTCGAAAGGGTCGTCCTGCCGCAGCAGCAGCCGCGGTTTAGGGTTTAGGATGATTATAGGTTTAGGGTTTAGGGTTTCGTCATGGAGCATGGAGGCCGAAGAAGGGTTTTAGGATGCTGGGGTGTCGGCTCCAAGGTGTACGTTCGGGGGAGGACAAGGGACGAGGCTTCAGGAGTTCGCAGGCCCTCAAGACCTGTTTCTGAGCCCAGATTGCGGAGAAGCCTGAGGTTGACCTTCTGTAGCTGAGGGTGCCCCTACTAATCCCTTCCCCTTTTATTAAATACCCCCCCCCCCCCCAAAAAAAAAAAAAAAAAAATTATTAACAGCACATTCCGGAAATCCTCACTCCGGGGGTCCCGTTTAATATAAGGGGGAAGGGCTCTAATCCTCCCCAACGCTGCAAAAACCCACCTGTCACCCCCCCCCACCCCCCCACCCCCCCCACCCCTGCCCACCCCACCCCAGACCCCCCCCCCCCCCTCCCCCCCCCTCCCCCCACCCCCGTGCCCACCCGCCCCGACCCCCCGGCTGCACTGGGCCAGGCAATTAGCTTGCTCTCCTTAAATAGCCTTCATAATGGGGGGGAACCTAGGCGGGGGTAGTTTTGAGGGGGTAGTAGGGAAATCCACGATGTAGAGTTCAGAGGTTAAGGATTTAAGAGTTCAGCTTGAAGCTTGGATTTTGCAGGGAATTTAAGGTTTCGCGATGATCCTCCTAAATCCCGGCAAAAGCCTCCCCCCTCCCCCCACCCCCATGAACAACAGCACTTGAATTCCAGCCCCCTCCAATGCATGTTACGTATGCCTTCAGAACGGCTACAGACAGAAATTAGACTGGCGGCAAAGGGCTTTATTCGGGAGATGGACTTCCTGCGCTACCCATGCCCCTGCCCGCCCTCAGATTCCCACAATAAAGGTGTGAAGTGAAGCTTGTCACCCATAATTTGCTACTCGCTGGGATGTACGTTTACAGTGCCCAGTTGGGAGATCTTCTAAGAAGGGGTCCCACAGCCCTCAGCCTTGAACCGGAGTCCCCTGCACGCGATGCCCTAAGCCTCCAACCATTCTTCGCGTTGAACCCTAAGTATACCCCATATTCCACGTTTGTTGTCTGGGTCCAAACGCCGAAGCAAACTGTCGTGCCGAGGCTCCAAAGCGCCCAAGCCCCCAAACGAATCCCTGTTATACCAAAGCCCATAAAACCCTAAGGTCCTGCCCCATCATCCTACTGAACTCCAGGGTCACGACTCGCTTGGCCAGAATCTGCCCGAACATCTTCCTCTCGAAGCAAAGCTCAAGTTTGACGCGCTTGCGGGAATTCGGCTGTGGGGGACCATGGCGAAAATAATCTGCTTGACTTGCAAGATGTTGTGACATGAGGATCCGGATTCAGTTGAAATGTACAAAAGCTGCCGGCTGATCCACTAGCTGACACTCATCCCAGGATGTTTGACTTCAGCCAGGTTTAGAAAGAACGGCTGGTGTCAAATACCTCCGAACATCCCCAACTCAAAACTACTTCTGACTTTCCGACGATGAACACTTACTTTCCTGCGTGCACCCTTCTGAAACGATTGCACCGAGCATGCTCCAGCCAAAGTTGCCCCTGTTCCGCCGCCAAGCGTCCGCATCACATTCCGCGTCTGCGCTAGAAGGGCCTTGGGCACGATGTTGAGGACCAGGCGGCCATCGTTGCCCAGCCTTGCAGGCGCTGGAAGGCTGCCAATCACTGACCAAGCATACAGCTATCTCATTCATCGATGCAGTACTTGGCAGTAGCGATCTCGAGTAGTACGTGGCACGGCCTTTTCTTGTTGATGTAGAGACGACATGCATCGTGATCGAGACCCTTTGACTCTTTCGAATTTCGAGCATTTGGTGCTTTTCAAGGATTCTGAGCCTGCCAAGACATTCCGGTAAACTTCTGAGCTGGGCGTGGCAGGCTTTGAACATCGATCGTTGAACTGTTAAACTGCAATGCCACACAAGTCTCTGGGTGGGAGCGCGTGGGCTTCGCAGTGGAATTTGGGGTTCGGGGCTTCGGGCCTTCTATGCATCAAGCGGCCCATGCCCTAAATTCGACTCGGTGCGGACCCTGTGGCCCTGACTCAGAGCCCTGAACCCTGCCAACAAAAGAGGCAAGCTGCATGAATGGGGTGAATGCCTCAGGTCATGACTGTGCACTAATTGCTGGAGAGTGACAGCAGTGTCAGCATTGGAGCAATGCACGTAGTCTTGCCCGCACCTGGGAGTCTGCAGCTTTGGGTTTCGGATTTTGCGTCTCGGTTTCGAAAATAGCCCTTCCCCCCTCCTTGGAATACACCATGCACAACATGCAGGCCGAATTTCGGCATTCAGAAAACACACGCGGGTGCAGCATTTTTTCATGTGCGCAAGAACAGCAATGCCCAAAAACACACGAAATCTCGGGGTTGAGGAGAGTCGACTGGACGAGCGCAAGGCCTTGGGCTTCAGGGTCTTAACCTGTTGCCTTCAAGAGACACAGTATGAATGGACCCAACACTGCAACCACTTCTTTCAAGTATGCAAGTTACGTACCCTGGATACCTTTTAAGGCAGTTTAGGTATAGCTTCGGCGCCCATGATCATCTGCGCCACCAGAGAGTTTCCGTCGAACGCCTCCTGAGCGAACTTCTGGATCAGAGTGACCTGCACGGGGTCCAAGTCCCCTTCGGCGGGCCAAGAAGAGCTTAATGCAATGGTGAACATGGGAATGGGAATCATAGGCCGAGCACATGCGTGGTCCAACAAGTGCCAGCACTGGGCAGGTTGGGTTCGGGCCACCGGACGAGGGAGTCATAAGAGCATCCTAGCGTGCAACAAGCAGCCCAAACCCAAAGAGCCTAAGACCACGCTTCACACTGAAACCCGCGCTCCTGCCTGCTGCTTCCGCACCAGGAAGCCGGTGACATATTCGAACCTAGGTGTTGAGGATTCTTCGATGGTGTCTCCGACATCCCAGGCTTCCGGCTAACACAGGCTTGTCTTGCAATCAGAATCTCTCCTAGGGTGCCTATTCCAGTGCTGTGCCTGTTAAAAAAAAACACCGAACAAAAAAACGCCCAAGACGAACCTAGTTTGGCAAAGCACCCTCCTAGCCTGAACCCCGACATCAGCCACTGGGACCTGTAGGCTCATTCCGACACCCTGACACCCCCAGAGGTTTTACCTTGAACCCTTAAGCTTGTGCCCATTGCGTTTTGGGGACCCGTTTTAAAGATCTAAGCTCAGAAGCATGGCAAGCATCGGAACACAGCTCTGGGGTGCTGGCAGCAGAAAGGCGGGGGAGATCTCGGCACTGCTGTCGGTGTAGTTCCTCTGAACGATTTGTGCGAGGGGCTTGCAGGTTGGGAATGAACTCGCGAGACCTCCATGTTGTTTTTGTGTATAAGTACAGTACCTTACATTACCTTACATTACCTTACCATGCATAATACATTACACTAATTACCTTACATTCCATGAATGCGTTGCATTACATTGCATACTTCCATACAAACATACGTACATACATACACAGACGTAGATACATGTGCGAGCATCGCGACATGAACAAAAGATGAAAGAACACATAGACAGGCGGACTGAATTTGATAGGCAGGCAGACAGAGATAGTTCGGAAGTTGGGCTGGTGCCATAGACGACAGACAACTTAGGTAGCATGGGACCATGCACAGATCGACAAACATATAGAGACAAATACATAGGTAGATAAGAGGGTGGATAGAAGATTCCGTAGATACATGTGGAAAGTTCAGAAGCCCCTGAACTCAAAATACCTTCAACACAGAGTTTGGGTTTAGGCCTTGAGGCCCAGAGACCTTCAACCAAGACTTAGAAATCTCAACGCCGACACTGGGAATCCTGAAAACACACAGCGCTGAACTTCCAACCTCACACGTATCTACACGAACATCCCCGGTTAGCCGTGGTGCCGCTTGCACCCCAAGAAAACGGCAAGGCGGCCAGCCAATGTCTGCAACTCCTGCTCCGCACGCGACGATTTTGTCCGTGCTAGGGCACAAGGTGTGGGGGGGGACATCCAGGGCTAGAGTCGGCGGAAGATTGGAGCCACCTTAAAAGGCTTAGGATTTGGGATTGAGGCTTCCTTGGTGTCATCTGTGCGCAGGGTTTCGGACATGTAGTTCGGCAAATCCTAACGGTCCGATAGCCCCTGCAATGCTAAAAAACCATGTTCGACCTTTATCAGGTCCTGTAATGCCCTGTGCCTGTTGTCGGCTAGGACAGAAGACTTCAGCAGGTTGATCGCTGGATGTAAACCACTTGAGCCCTCCAAAGCCGTCAGAAAGCGCCAGATTGTCATTGCACTGAAAATTTGCGTAGTGCTTCAGGCTTTTCTTTATACAGGGCTTGTTTGATCAGAAGGACCTGAATCCGAAAAAATTGGACCTGTGAGAGCTCACACCTCTAATCCCCTCCCCTGCCCTGCTTCCTTTCTGATGTATTCTTGCTGCCCCCCAGCCCCTCCCTCCCCGCGCCCCCCCTCTCCCCCCCGACGACCGCCCTCGCTCCCGCCCCCTTCCGGGAAGTAGCTACCTTGTCGCCACTGTTGTGGTCGAGGCGGGTGGCGTAGCGTTAGAAATTAGGGTAGATGACATGCTGCAGCCCTACATTGGATTTCTCACGAGTCTAGATATCAGAAGTGCAACAATAGCAGAGCAGTAGACTCAGTAGACCTGTTCTGCACACGTACACAGCTTGGCCAAGCCCAAATGCTTCAAGCTGCCTTTGGAAACCGACCGCTGCTTGGTGGAGACCACGGAAGCAATTATTGATCGCCGACATTCTTGGCCCTAAGAGCTGAAAGAGCGGTCCTTGGAAACCACCTCGTCCACGCCACTCTTCCTTGCTGAGCGGTTCGAAGGAAGAAGCCTACGTAATCTGGGCTTAGAGCCGTCAGCGATTCTCAAGGGCCGGCACAGGCCCTTCCAAGACACCGGCCTCAACACGAAACCCTAAATCCAGGCCGTGGCAGCCCTACTTGTCCACACAGAACTTTCTTTTAGTTTCAGGAATCAATGCCCCTGAACCTCAGAAACAGCTGGGGGGGTTTGGGCTTCTAAGGAGCCAGGCGTCTCGGCCCGCTGCACTGCCGAGCGCAGGTCATGCAGGGAGGCCAAGGCAAGCTGTCCTTGCGCGATGCCTCGGCGAGCCGGATGACCGGGAAGGGAGGGAGGGGGGCCTGAAGAAACCATCCCATGCCTTGGTTCATGCAACACGTGCTTGTAGCTGAAGGGTGGCGTGACAGTCTCTGAGGGTTCTGTAGGAGAGTGAGGGTGTTGGAAAAGGCTCAGTTGTGTACCGGCTTAGAGATTCGGTGGGGCTTTGCGAATTTGCGAAGTTTGGGCCCACTATGGCCAACTCCTTGTTTCTCGGCCTTAGGGTTGAGGTTTAATAGTCAAGACAGAACCTTGCACCACCTGGTGGCTATTTGTCGCTCATGCAGAACCGCTGCGGTACTTTCAGACAACCTCCTACAGCCACTGTATGCTGTCTGAAGCCCGCGAGCGAGCTTCGGCAGATGTTCGAGCGTGGTTTGTAAAGCACTGCAGCCCCGCTTCAAAGCATCCGAAGCCAAAGCCAGAACAAGGGACAAGGGGGTGCCCTCGAAACTCCACACCCTGCCTTGAACCGATCTACGGTAGTAACCCTCAAACAGCTTTTGGGGGAGTCGAGCATACAGCTGCGTGGCAGGGTACACGCGTGCGGTGGAACAACGATCACGACTTGCTCAGCCAATACAGGAGCACGTCTAGCAAACCACCCACAAAGGAATACACATGTGGCCTCCCCTTCCATCCGCAAAAGTCTTGCCGTGAGAAACGGGCGTACTGCCGAAACCCCGCCGATCAACCCCGGCAGAGGGATGAGCTCAGAAGCCCCGCTGTCATACGCATCAGCCCCGAAGTGCGTTGGCTCCAAAGGGTGGCTGGCCACTGGGGGGATTTAGGTCTAAACTGTCGAGGCAACCCCACACCTGGCCCACGGTGTGGAGGAAACGAAGAGTTGGGCTGCATGCTTCCCTTGGGTAGGGCGCGGTAGGGTTGGAGTATGCTGACCTGCAGTCCTGGGAGCTGCGTGTCACCGGGCTCCAAAAAACCCTACAAAACTCCAACGAAAAACCTGCAGAGGCCCTGGATCCTTCAGCGCCCAGCTGAACCCCTCACTTAGGATGTTCCACCTTATACTAACCGTCCTGAATAGGGATTATAATAGGGTGTACACCCTATTATAATCATTATAATCCCGATTAAAGACTGGTAGTATAACATCCCAACCCCTCACCCACACAAGGCCAGCGGACGGCAAACGTAGAGCATCATGGCCAGAACTCGCCGCCCCACGGACTGGGCGCTGGCTGTGTTCGAGACCTCGGGTTTAGGGTTTCGAGGGACTAGGGTCTGGTCTAGGGTTAGGGTAGGGTCTAGGGTCTAGGGTCTAGGGTCTAGGGTCTAGGGTCTAGGGTCTAGGGTCTAGGGTCTAGGGTCTAGGGTCTAGGGTCTAGGGTCTAGGGTCTAGGGTCTAGGGTCTAGGGTCTAGGGTCTAGGGTCTAGGGTCTAGGGTCTAGGGTCTAGGGTCTAGGGTCTAG